CTTGAGTACAGTTGAATGAATAAGGTATATGTTTCTATTACACATTATTGCTATTTAAAAAGAAATGTAAGATGATGCTCCTACTTTTTAATACTTATTTTTAATAATCCCATTTAGTAGTTCCTTTTCTACTACTACAAATTGCATATTTTTGTATTTTGCTATTAACTGATTAAGAACACTTTAGCTTATTTACTTTAGAAGGAAGACAGTATAAACATGAATGAAATTTTAATGCAGTATGTTGTTTCATTATGAATGAGCAAAATGTAATTATGTTGTTAATTTCATCTAAATAGTAAATGTAGTATTGATATGAGGAGAAAGGGCATTAAGTATTCTTTCATGTTAAATGTTTCTATAAAAAAAGTGATACTAGCTGTTAGGTGATTTTTTTTTAATGCTCATTTGATCCAGAAACACTCTATTCACAAAATTTTTACTTAAAACTACAAAAGAGAAAAAAGCTGAAATATCCATCAACAGTATAATGTAATTCTGGTTGATTCTGAGAGCAGAAGTCAGCCAAGATGAACAAATGAGTCTTGTAATTTTGTATCAGAGATCAAAAAAAAAATAGCCCTATCAAATGAGGAGGGAGAGGAAATGCCATAGACCTAGGGGAAAAGGTTATAATATTAGCTTAGGACTCAGTAAAAGCAATCCACTGATAGCAATTTCCCTTCATCTGACTGACTTGTAGAAAATTTTAACAGATCTTATTAAAATGGACAAAAACTATTTCCTGAAATAACAATAAAAAATATATTGTAATAAATGGTAGGTACTCTACAGCCTAAGCTGCATCTTGTTTTTTTTCCAAGGAAGCATGATATTTTTTTGAGTATCTCATTAGCCAAGTTTCAATTTAGGACAGGTCCTTGGAAACATAGCAAGATTAGAGTTGGAGGTAGGATGAGATGGGTAATTGTAATCTCCTTTATACAGATAGTACTGCCCTTGGAATGTGAAAAAATCTTCCTGAAGGTTGGTATAAATGAAGGGTTGCAAACAGATTCGAAATCTATACAGACATTAGCTTGGGTCTGCTTAAAGTTCTATGTTGCTGACAATGATTCTGATCTATGATCTTAAGATTTTAAAGAAGAGTGTTCTATGAATTCCAGATCTTTGTCATGGACAAAGAACTCAAGTATTACTCCTTTAAGATTCCTGATTCATTTGTTCCTTGAGAGGTTAGCTAACATTAAGCTAGTGAGTAAAAAAAAAACAGCAATTCAGTTCTTGTATCTATAGTAAATAGAAATGAGCCTCACTCATTAGAACTCCTCTTTCAAGTCAGGTGGAAAAGGAACCTTTCTTCACAAAGACACCTTAATTTGTCTCCATGAAGTTGAAATAGACAATAATACTGTGGTGAAACATACTGCAAACTGAAATCATTTAGGCCACAAAATACGCTACTTTTAATTAGCCAGGATTGTATGAGGACAGTCAACTTTTTCCATTTAACTCTGAATGACTGTTATAATGTTATAATGTAAAGGTTATATATATAACCTTTACATTATAGTTATATGTAACTATAACTATAGTTACCACTTGGCTTCCTTTCAGTTTTTGGCATCAAACTTCCATTTAAGGTATACAGCTTTAATCAGGAGGAGAAAGCATTGATGACAACAAAGAACAAGAAAATAAACACTCCTAATTTGCATACATAATAATAAAGAATAAAAGGAACAAAATGATACTAGGGAGAGAGAGGATTTTGTTCTCAAAAAAAAAAAAAAGGCACCCCCCCCCCTTTTTTTAAATCAACTGTGGAAGTAGAGGGAAATATCCCAGACTAAAAAGAAGTCATGCTTTCCTGAGATGGCTCCTGGTAGGTTTCTTATAATTTTGCACGTAATGGGAATTGGAGTTGTGCAGAACATTTTAGGAAGCTTTCCACATGGATTTATGAAGTAATGAGCTCACTAGGGATGCAGATAAAAAACTCAACATCAATTAAATAAGAACCAAATTTTAATTAGAAAATTGTTTTCCAACTTGATGTTAAACCGATAAGTATCTCAGGTACTCAAATTTTGTTGTAATGTTACATAGAACTTACAAACTCTCAGTTAAGCAGAAATAAAAGAACCAGATTTCTTAAGTACGGTGACGAGATCAAGTTGTGAGAAAGCTCAGGAGAGAGCAAGGTTCTTGGCATAATAAAGTGTGTATGCACAACATGTTTATGTGTGTGTGTGTGTGTGTGTACATATATATTTCTGATATAAATAGCAAACTGAATATTGGATTATGAAAACATGTTACACCTCCTGTTTCCCTTCTCACTAGCTAAGTAGCCATCGGAGAGCCATTCTTTTTGTATCAAATTAGCAGAGTAGTTTAATTATCCAGACCCACTTCCAGTGGGTTTTGTGACAAAATTAAGGCGTGTCAGTCTTAGAAATGAAATTGCCAGTTATTTAACCAGCAAAGACAAGTTTATTTAGGAATAGTAGAGGAACTGTGGTTTGGGACATGCTTGCTATGACAAACCATAGGCAAGTCTGAAGAACAAAGGAGAAGGGCTTGCCTTTGGAGAGGACAAGAGGGATTTGGTTGTTTTGAAGGAGAGGAAGAGTTCAGGGTTGCAGCTCCTCATTGGCTAAGTGGTGGTGGTTTTTCTTCTAGGTTATTTCTGGGCAAGGAGAAAATCTTCCTTATCCTCCTAGGGTAAGTAAAGTAAGCTTCTAACTGCTGGGGTATGTGAAGTAGGCTGCAAAAGTGATATGTGGTGAGAACCCTTGCCTTCATCGCCTCTGACTCCGTTTTGAATTAGGTTGCTTTTGTTCATTTTCACAAGTGCTCATTAATAGCATCCATAAACTTTTCAGAGCATGGAATAGGGTGGGCAAGAATAGACTGAAAGACTTTTGAATTTAAGAACACTGATGCAAGCTCTCCAGTGATTCAGGACTTCCTCCCTCTCCTGTCTCTCTTAAGAGACATAAAGTCATGTACTTTGCACAGGCACTGTTTTCAATTCATTAAGTTTATAGTAATAACTCATTGAGTTCAATACGACCTTATAAGGGCATTACCACAATTCTCCCCATTTGATGGATGAGGAACTGAGGCACTATGAGAGCAATTGCGAAGAGGCTTGGCCATTTAGTGGGAGGAGGTGTTATTCCAATCCAGCCAATCTGGGTCAAGAATCTGTATTTTTAACCAAAATGCTTTTCCACTTTTCTTTGTATTTGTCCCTTTAAAATGAGGTTAAGCGAAGTAAGATGTAAATTAGCGAGAGGGCTGGGAAGGGTTAAGGCTGAAGCACATCCTGGAGCTGAAAAAACAAAAACCAAACTAGGGAGCGAATGCCTGTTAAAAGCCCCCGTAGGAAATTCAATGGGCCTCCTGTTTCTTTAAACTCTCGCTTTCCCTCCGGCGGACACTTTACAAAGCAGCAGCGGCAGCGGGACCACGCTGTCGCGCGCTACCTTCCTCCTCCGGTCTCGCGGGTCTGGGGTCCGAAGGGGTTTTTCGGGGTCAGTAGCAGAACTCACTCGGGTTTGCTTTCTTCACACCCCAACTGCTACAAACGTCCTCCCGGGAATGGCGAACTGTAATTAACCCTTTAGCGCCCAGGGAGACCCCGCCAGCGTCTGGTGTCTGCTGGGTACCGTGCGGGGGGCTAAGACCCTCCGCAGCCCCGCGCGAAGGAGGCCTGGAGGCCAGGTGGGCGAAGGCGCCGCTGGTGTGGCTGCAAAGGGCAAGAGCCGAGTGCAGGATGGCGCCCCGGCGGCGCGGAGGTGCAGCGGGGCGCTGGGCTCCTAGCTCGCTCGCCTTTCTCGCCTTCTCTCCTGACTCTCCGGGCAGTAGGCTGCTGGGGGCGCGCAGGGCTGGAGTTGCCCTCTCACTCCCCCTTGCTTTTCTCCTCCGGCTTAATCTCTCGGCGACTTTACTGCCAGCCCCGAGGAAAGTGCAGCCATTGGACAGGTCGGTGCTAGCTGCTGGTTTCGGGGAGGAAGGTGGGAGAAGCCTGAAGGAGCGGGGGGGGGAGGGAGGAGGGAGGAGGGAGGAGGGTGCAGCGGCAGATCTGGCAAATTGCAAGCTGCCTTCCCTCCCCAAAGTGTGGAGCAGAAGCGCGGGGGAGCTCGGCGGCGGCGGCGGCGCCTCCTCCGCCACCAAACTCCCGGGGCTCGGCGGGGCTTGTGGCCACCTCCTCCTTAGCCAGGAGGAACCCTTTCCCGATAGGTTTTGGCCTGACTCCCCCGCCCCCCATTTCTTTCTTCTTCCTCTTCCTCCCCCTCCTTCTTTTTCTTTTCTTTTTTTTTTCTTTTTCTTCTCTCTCTCTCTCTTTTTTTTTTTTTTTTTTTTTTTTCTGGCTTCGGACCTTAGACTGCTACAGCCTGAGCCTTCACTGGGCTCAGCTCTTTAGAGCTGCCCATCCCTCTGGCTGCGAGAAAGGACGCGCGCCCTGCGTAGGGCGAAGAAAAGAAGAAAAACTTGTCGGAGGGGTTTCGCCAGCCCACATTAACCCCCTTCCCGCAAACCCAAACCTCCCGCCAGGGCCATCCCAACACTGGGGAAAGTTCCTTGTGAGCCGACAGCCCTCTTGGATTTGGAGGAGGCAGCCGCGCTGGCTGTGGAATTAGATCTATTTTGAACCCAGTGGAGCATATCGCGGGGGCTCGGAAGTCACTGTCTGCGGGCACCCGGGTGGCGCTGCCTGTGCGGAACCGAGAGTTTGCGAGCCCCGGCTGCAAGTGGCCTTTCCTCCCCGCCGTTGGTGTCCTGTGTCTGGGGTGAGGGCTGCGAGTGTTGTGGCAAGTTGCGAAGAGAGACCCGGAGGTCCGGAGAGGACTGCACTCCCCCTCGCTCTCCCTTCCTCTTCCCAGCTCCCGAGTGTGAAATCCCATCGAAATTTACAAAGGCCTCCAGGTTCAGCCAGACCGGTCCGCAGCGCTTGGCCCCAGCGTCCCCATCGTCCCGATTCCCACTCGGAGCCTCCAAGCACCCGGCGCCTGGGAAGGACTGGCGGGGAGGGGGAGGGAGGTCTCGGCGGCGGCATGGCGAGGTTCCCGAGGGCAGACCTGGCCGCTGCAGGAGTTGTGTTACTTTGCCACTTTTTAATGGACCGTTTTCAGTTCACTGAAGGGGAGCCTGGAAACCAAATCAATGGTAAGATGCACTTTAGCTTGTTGATTTTTTTGCGCAACTGAAGATTTCGCTGGCACTCCCCCCTCCATTCTCAACCCACCCCCACCTCATCTGTCTGCCCTTGGGAAAGTTATTGCAATTGCTTTGGGGTAAACTTGGGCTTTCCGAATGGAGAGGAGGGGGTTGGTTAGAGAAGGGGACTGGAGGTTTTCTTGAGGATTTCGGGCTTCCTTCACCTGAGCGACAGGGGGTGGTACTGTCTCCCCAAGTCGCCCAGAGAGGGCTCTGGTGTGTAAGAGCAAACCTTCTGTAGATACCTTTCCCAGAACTGGCATCTCTGGGAAGTCTCCTCTCTGGCTCCTCCTGCTTCTCTGCTGCCGCGATAAACTAAGCGAGTGCGTGATGGGGGCCGTGGGTGGGGGACGTTAGTGGCAGCTGGGGATTGCAGGGTTCCCCCCAGCTGTAGAAAATTTCCTGTGGCCGCACCTTTCTACCCCACGCGATCCCCACCTTAGTTCCCTTTCGCAGTCTGGGGTTGAACGGGCTCTGGAAGCGGGGCGGGGTAGGTGCGGCGCGGCGCCGAGGAGGGGAGGCGGTGGCAGAAATGGGGTGGGCGCGCCTCTGGAGACCAATGCCTGCCCCCATTGTCCTCCGCCGGCCGCCTTCGCAGACAGGCCTGAACGCGTCCGGGGTTCGTCCAAGTGCCCTGACATTGCCCCCGCGCGGAGACCCGGCCTTCGCATCTACCCTGTGGTGGCTCCGGGTCGTTGCCAGCCAGGTTCGCGTCCAGCCGGGAGCCGCGCCCCCGGGGCCAGCGCGGAGCCGGCGTAGCAACACCCCCCCGCGACCCGCTGGCTCTCGCAGGCTGGGAGCTAAGCCGGGGTTTCAGGTGCCTCCCGCGACCCTGCCCTCTGAGAACTGGGTGCCTGCTCACCCTTTCTGCCCCTCAGGCAGAGAGAACCTTGGCAGAAATTTGTGAACTCAGGTTAGACTTGGGAGAGGAGGTGAAATGAACAAAATACACTTGGAGGAAAAAAGAAAACACAAACTTTCTGATGAGCGTAATCAAGATTTTGTTTTGTTTTAATTCTGAAGTCTGGGGTAGTGGTGGTGGTGGTGCTTAGTGATTCCTCAGAAAGTATACATGTGTCTGCAAATGTCAAGCATGAAAGTCGCAGATGGAAGCTTACCGAGGTCACCTGGGGATTCCAAGTGAGGTGAATCTTGGAGAAAGTCCTTGAATGAAATTCACCAATCTGAGACCTAGAAATCAGCTAAAAACACTGTCTCTGCCCCTGGTGTAAATTCTTATAGAGAACGCACAGATTCTGACTCTGCGCTCCAATTTATGATTGGAGGGGTGTGTGGGATGGGAGGAGGGGGCAACATGATGACAACGCTTTTAAAACTGTGAAACACTTTAAAACCCCAATTTTCTTGATGTTGATTTGTCTTGGTCACATATAGTTTTGTTCTGCATAGATGGACATAGCTTGTTCTTTACTAGGTACGTCAGTAGATTATCTTGTTTGTCTGATACATTTCATTGGTTGGAAAAAAAACACTAAGACTTTTACCCTACGATATTGATATGGTATGGCCACATTCATGAAATAAGTAAATGCTTAAAGAAAACAATTCATCCCAAAGGAGGTTAGAGAGACGTGTATGCCAAAATGGATTCCAAAGTTGTTTATTTGAAATTTCTGTAAATAATGCATTTACAGAAGAAAAAAAAAAGATCAGCAGATGTTTATTTTTTCCGAACTTCTTTCATTAATGGTATGTTACTGAGAAAAGAATATGTATACATTTCTAAGTTATCAAATTGAGGATGAGTGAACATTCACTCTACAATTGGCCAGATAATTAAAAGCTGTGGGGATTATACAATACCTAAATTGCCCAACATAAATGTACAGGTATTATAAACTAATTATAAACTAGTACCTGTGGTGGAAAATTACTCTAGAAACCCATATTTTTATAGGATTGAGTAAAAAATGAATAGTTTTAAATTTCTTGGTAAGTGTTTTGGAGATTTATTGCAAACTGAAGTAGCTTCTTTACTGGATATCAGTCTACATACAGTTTTTGAGTAATCTTGGAGTTAAATGGTTACATTTTCTTTCCTATAAATACAATATAGCAATGAAATAGAAGAAAAAATAATTTCCTTTGTAAACATGCTAAAATATCACTATGGGAAAAATTTTAAAGAGCCCAACAGTCTTGAAATTTGCCATGTAGCAATCAGGATTTTTATCACAGACATTTTGGCACAGGAGAAAAAAATCTGATTTCATAACAGGGACATTTAATTATGTATTACTTTAGAAAATGCTGCAGTTGATTTTATTGCCACCAGAGGGCAGAGGAACTGCTAATTTCTCCTATTCCCATTCTTTCCCAAATCTCTCAGATTAATGATCTTCAATACTTTGTTTTTCCTATGCGCAGTATGTTTTGGACATTTCAGCTTACCACACGTAAATGAGTGGCAATTTATAATAATTAGTGTTTATTTCCCATGTTCATTGAAATTAACTTTTCATTCAACATTTATATAGCACCTTCTACATGTAAAGATCTATTCTTAAAAAAATTTTTTTTTAATGTTTATTTACTTTTGAGAGACAGAGAGAGACAGAGCATGAGTGGGGGAGGGGTAGAGAGAGAGGGAGACACAGAATCTGAAGCAGGCTCCACGCTCTGAGCTGTCAGCACAGAGCCCAATGCTGAGCTCAAACCTACGAATGGCGAGATCATGACCTGAGCCGAGGTCAGACACAACCAACTGAGCCACCCAGGCACCCCATAAAGATCTATACTTTGAATACATTCTTGTGGTGCATTTGTACAGTGGAAAAATTCAAATACCTTCTTTTGTATCAATGCTGGAGGTTTCTAGCAAATTATTGTGGAATTCTCAACAACATAGCTTTCAAATCTCTCTCTTACAGTGAAAAGCTCATTATGTAATGAATTTATCTTTAGGATTGAATGTAATCTACACATAGATGAAAAGTATATGCCATATTAAATAGTTTTTATCAACACCAATATTTAGAGAAAAATAAACTTAGAATAGTTCTAAATTCTAGAAATCGGAAATCTTCTTTGTATTGTTATACATTTGTTCCTATATCCTATAAGTGAAAAACAGTTTATTAACCGTGTCAAAGGAGAAAGATGTGTTAATGTCTTGAAGATTTCTAAAATGTAAATAGGGAAAAAAGGCCTAAAATTATGGAGTTATTTTGGCCTGGTTATTACTCTTAAATGTGACTTAATGCAACAAGGAAGTTCAATACCACTATATAGAGAGCAAAAATAGTTTAGGACTCCAGGGAACTTTTGCTATTTAAACTTTCTAATATTGCTATGTACTGGAGGGAAATAGTTTATTTTTAGCAGGTCATTTACATTTATTCTAGTTGTTTCTCTAGTGGGATATTTTTCTATTATTTTCTGCTTTCGTTGGAGTTAAAAGACTTAGTTTGAAATGTTACTAACTTGTGGAGTTTGGTATGAGAGTATCTCTGTTGAGGCATACTGTCATTAGTGTAAATTTTCTGTTTGCATATATACTGGAAGAGAAAATTATAACAGAAGGTTAATCAAGTGAATATCCTCTATAAAGTAGACCTGGGTCAGATTAATGAACAAATGGTAGGTTGACTTTTATTTTATTTTATTTTATTTTATTTTATTTTATTTTATTTTATTTTATTTTGGGAGGGGGAGGGGTAGAGAGAATGGGAGAGAGAGAATCCCAAGCAGGCTTCTCACTATTAGGGCAGGGACTGATGAGGGGCTCAAACTCACAAAGTGCAAGATCATGACTTGAGCCAAAATCAAGAGTTGACAACCGACTGAGCCACCCAAGAGCTCTAGGTTGATTTTTAATAAATCAGTGACTCGTGTTTCCATACAAAATTTTTTAAAACACAAAATGTGAGTTTTTTTTTCTTTTAGAGAACAGATACAAATTGAAGCCTAAGGATGGATAAGATTTTTAGTTCATGGATGTCTGCACAGAGATTTGAAATTATTATAAGTAGGACAGTTTGTGCATTTGTTAAGTTTGATCTTCAGAAACAGATTTTTATCAAGTAGAAAGTACTTGAGTAAAACTTAGTAACAGAAGATACTAATTTGCTCCAAACAGGTTTCTTCTCTGCCTGCAGAGAAGTAGACAAAGTGGATTCTTTTCAATTAGTTTTGTCCCTGTTTTTTTTGCTTCCTAAAAGATATTTCCTGTTGTAGAAGCGGAATATTTATGAAGATTAGTGAGTTGATCAGCAGCTGTGATCATGAGATCTGAAGTCTTGAGCGGTTTCCTACCACATTAAATACTGTCTCTTCACCATGGCCTCCAAGATCATTATCATGTGGCCTGGACCTACTGTTTCAGCTCTCCCTTCCCACCCCGTTTCTGAACACTCTCACCAGTTGAGGCTCCTTGATCTCCCCTGAGTAGGTGCTGTGTTACTTACTACCTCTTTTCCTTTCCTCCTTCACCTTCTTCCCTCACGCGTCTCCATTGGTCCATCTGCCGTTTCTTATAGGCTTTTATCTCAAGTGACACAGTTCGCAAAAGGATGTGCCATCTCAGAACCCTCGGGAACTTCTGTACCTTTTTAAAGGCACTCGTTTGTTTGAATCTGCTTGATATTGGAAGAGTTGTTTCCCTCCATTCCATTTCTGTATCTCTTTCATATACTTTCTTACACCATAGATCGTGTTCTGTAGGGTCCTGGTCCGTCCACTTCTGAATCCCCCAAGGCATCTCCCACACAGGCATGCAATAAATAGCTGTTGAACTGACCGGACTGAATGGAATGGTAGTTAGTTTGAATGTCACCTTGGGAGACTTCTGAAAAGTACTCGTTTACCCTGTTTATGACTTTTTCCACCAATAAGTTGGAAATGAATATACAGACAGGTTTTGCAGAACTGATCGTTTAAAACAAGAGAGTAGGATCCAGGGGTCTGCTGAACTGTCATAATGCTTGTGG